GGTCAACTAAACATGGGAATAGTAACAATATTTTTATACGACATTTATCCATTTTAAATTCACTAACCTCACACCTTTATAACAACTAAGGCAAAAATGTAATTAATTCAGAAAATCATTTCAGGACCCCACCTTGATGTTTCGGGACCCCACTTTGGGTCCCGACCCCAACTTTGGGAAAAACTATCTTATACAACATGCCTCATACAAAAATAAAATTACACTTGACAAACAGCTAGCCCTGGAGAGAGGTTGCTATAGCAGAAGCATCCTTTAAAGCCAGGATCCCACCAAACGTGTCTTGAGCAGCAAAAATGCTCCTGACGTCAGTTTTTGGCTGCTTGTCAATAGATGTCCGTTCAGACCAAAGGCGTCTGAAGACACACAGTGGGTGGAGCGTCTTTCTTCATTTTCCGGTCTGTTGACGGTTGAAATAAAGATAAAATAAAGAAAATGACTTTGCTTTATTTACTAAAGAGCAAGCAAACGTGCACAGCAGATAATTAATTCACCAGATAATTTACAGGCACTCTGACCTGCAAGCTGATGGACATTTTTTTTCAGACCAGGACCAAACTAGAGGCGCGTAGAGGGAGAAGCGTCTTGGTTTTTTTCTGGTCTGTCTTTAATGACGGGTGAAATAAAGACAAAAATTAAGAAAATGTTTTTGTTTTATTTACTAAAGAGCAAGCGAAGCTACTGTCTCATCATCGGTGCTGATCTCTCCAGCCAGAACACCAACTGCAGACGGTCTATTTCAGCTAAAGGCTCCAGTCAGTCTGTGTCAGGTTCAGGAAACCGTCACATGGAAAAATTATTCTCTCCCGATTGGTTGCTGCTGCTCGTCAATCAGCCAAAGTTCAATTTGTTGAACTTTAGCAGTCGCTGCTTTGGACGTGCCGCTTGCACGGAAAATGCTCTGCCGCATTCTACCGCTACTTGCGCACTGCTCTAAACTGCTAAAATGTGCTGCTACATGCTGCTCTGCTTCTAGATGTGCGTCCACCATAGACTTTGCATGTAAACTGGCTGCTTTGGYTGCTCAAAACGCGTTTGGTGGGAACCTGGCTTTAATGCTACATTTACACCAAACGCGTTGCACGCCTCCAAAAATCTCAAAACGCACGCATCTTGATGCTGGTGTCCAGTCAGGACAGGCACATTTGATGTGAACGTAGACGCGCTTCTTTAGACGCTTGAGGGGAGGAGCCTTTTTGACCGTAGTTTCGATAACTTACCAAACATGCCGACTTCCTCACTAATCGTCCTCCAGGCAAAATCATTTATATTTCTCTCACGATAACGGACACTGAAATGATCATAAATGATCGGACTATCAGTTTTTCCTCCATTGTTTGTGTCTGATCCGATTTCCCGAGCTTCCGGTATTTCCGGCTCGTCACCAAGTGCATCACTGAGCGGAGTCTCTCTGATTGGTTGATGTGACGCGTCGAGCAGCAAAAGTTCAGATTTTCCAACTCACGCGTCGGATGCTTTGGACGTGTCGCACGCACGGAAAACACTCAAGACTACTGCTTCGTACTTTGCTTTGTACTGCTTCGAACCGCGTTGCAACCAAATGCGCTAGACGCACTGCTCAGCTTCTAGACGCCCCTAGATGCGCATCCACCATTGACTTTGCATGTAAACCAGATGCTCCTGATGCTCAAAACGCTTTTGGTGTAAATGTACCATAAGACAGATACAAGCCCTACAAACCTGACTCGTCTAACATCTCTGAAGTACGATTTCAATCTGATCCTCACCCAGAGAGCATTCTCCCTCTTCCGTGCCAGGCAGAAACATTTCGAGGATAGGGATAAACCGGTCAAATTTCTGGCTAGATATATAAAACAAAAGGAGGCACAGACTACACTACCAGCAGTCAGAATGCAAGATAACACTGTAGTGACAAATCCCACCAAAGTGAACGAGGTGTTCAGAAATTACTATGTATTCAAACAAACACAGACGCCCTGTATAAGAAGGGCCAGAGTCCACTCCACCTGCTGAGGAGACTGAGGTCCTTCGGTGTCTGCAGGACTCTGTTAAAGACATTCTACGACAYRGTGRTAGTATCTGCCCTTTTCTATGGAGTGGTCTGCTGGGGGGCTGGATGTACTGAAAGGGACAGGAACAGGATGGACAAACTGGTATGGAGGTCAAGCTCTGTGCTGGGATGTCCTCTGGAGCCTGTGGTTGTGGTGGGTTAGAGGAGGATGTTGGCAAAAAAGCTGACAGCCATCATGGACAACCCCCCACCACCCTCTGTATAAACCGTGGGGGGGCTGAACAGCTCCTTCAGTAAGAGACTTAAACATCCTCGCTGCAGGACGGAGCGCTTCCGTAGGTTATTCATTCCAACTGCAGTTAGACTGTATAACACATCATGATGTCATCAGTTAGACGGTATAACACATCATGATTTTATCAGTCACTTGGACAATTCACCTACAATGGCATCAGTAATATGCACCTGCATATATAGACTGTAAAAGCTACAGACCAATAAGCCTAATAAATTGTGACTGTAAGATCCTAGCTAATGTAATAGCAACCAGATTGGATAAGGTTATGACTAGCCTGGTACACCTGACCAGGTTGGATTCATTCACACACAAAACTCTTCTGACAACATTAGAAGGCTAATTAATATTATATGGACAGCCCAAAACAAACTCAAGTGGTGACCTTTCTCTCTGCCATGGCCCTCTCCATTGATGCAGAAAAACYATTAGGCAGGGTGGAGTGGAGCTACCTGATTAGTGTATTAGAAGCATATGACTTTGGCCCAAAATACATTAGCTGGGTCAAACTACTCTACCATAACCCTAGGGCTTCAATATTAACAAATTGCATTATATCATAGCCTTTTGACCTACACAGAGGAACGAGGCAGGGATGCCGAAAGCAGTGGGCCCAGTGGCCCACTGCTTTTTGCTCGACCCTTGGAACCTCTGGCAGCAAAAATATGCAAGGACCCAGATTTCCCGGGTATCCAAATTAATAATGTGAGTCATAAGCTGATGCTTTATGCAGACAATGCCCTTGTCTTTGTTTCACAACCAGAACACTCCCTACCTTCTCTTTTAAAATTTGTCAGTTCATTCTCCAATATATCTGGATATGAAGTCAACTGGTCAAAATCTGAAGCACTACCCCTGACAACGTGCTGCCCCAAAACCTTTTCATCCAGGAAACTTTAGTTGGCCTATAGCAGGCATTAAATATCCAGGAATCATACTGTATTTCCCAATTCCTTGGCTAATATAATGCAGGTTAATTTCAAATTCAGATTCAGATTGCTTTTATTGTCATTCAAACATAACATCAGGGATGCAATGTAGAACAAAATTCAGTTAAGATAACCCATTCAAAAAAACACGACAAAAACATGGAGGAACAGGTGAACAGGTCATGCACAACAGGGTCGAGCTACCTTTTGCAGCTTGGAAATACACAATAGGAGAGRTGAGTTTAAAAAWGTTGCTCTGATCCTATGTTTACRTCATAAACACAGAGTCATGTGCACGAAAGAA